TGAAGCAGTTCTCATTTAGTTAGCTAATGCAGAATCTACTGAACGCATGTACATTAAATTATTAAATCCACTTCGTAGTAGTAAATTTGCGGAAATTCTCAAATTAGTAGAAGATCCAACTTCATTTGTGTCAGTTGTCTCTTAAATACCTAATTCTAAACCGAGCAAAATCGAATACCCGAAATCCTTAAAGTCGTAGGCAGGCGTAAATTTAAAGAATTTCTCGAGTTTAGGGTAGGTTCGAGTAAATATGCAGAGGATATGTTAATTACCTTATTCGTCGCAGACGATTCTAAATACTAATTTAGATTTTCTGAGCAAGAAAATGATTTTTAGATTTTCTGAGCCTTGTTTTGCATGAGTGGTATAGATATTTGAATGCTTTAGATGCTCGCTGTTATACGTTAAGAGTATAAGCATCTACTCATAACGTATAAGAATTTTGCAATTTATAAGGCAGTCAACTGAATATTTTGGGTACAATGAATACTGAATGTCATCGCATCAGTCGCCAACATGGCCATTTTATAGTGCTAAACTGAAGCTTTTATTCCGCTATAACACTCACATATGGTTGGTTATACCTACTAAATAAAATTATGAACACAGAAGAATTTTTTAGTCACAAGCTCATCCCAAAACTTAAACAAAGCTACAAGAAAATTTTAATGGAGACATATAAAAAACATTGCTGCTGATAGAAAGGTATTTATAATGCGATAAAAAAGACGTTAAAAATTGCCAACAAAAGCCAAGGCGAGATGGACATCAACACTACAAGCATAAGAGAAGCTCATTGAAAGGCTTGAATTGCACCTGACTTGCTGACTCACCGCTTGTTCATCACTGGCCACTTGTTCGCTCTTAAGAGAGTGCCAAAGATCATCTGCTGGGCTCTGTTATTCATCACCGAGGGAGCTGGTCCTATCAAAACGCTTGTTCAGGTCCACACACACAAGGATCGGACACACAAGCTTCCATTGTAAAAATAGCAGCTTTTTCCTCTCGAGATTCAGTCGCGTGATCGCAAAGTAGCTTAATTGATTCGCTTATGAGTTTTGCAGAGGCCTTATTTAGGTAGCGAGTCTTGGTTCGATTGGGGCCATCGGCTCGATTTGATGAGTGAAAAAACGCTTGATGGATGAAGACATTAGCGTCCTAAGATAAATCGAGTGAGGCTTTGAAGGAAATTGTCAGATGAAAGATGGATCGGGGAGCCAGTGAAGTATGATCAAGCCTGAGATTCGTGTGGACAAACGCATGCTTTCTTTCTTTCAAGTATTTTTTACGAATACATAAAGTTTATTTTTTACACAGCGTTGCAAGTATTTCTTGTTATATTCCATAAAACTAAAACTCCACTAGAGCCAGAGACTCGAGAATAGTTACGATGTGGTGAGGTCATCCAAAAATCGTCGATTATCTTTTTGATTCGACCCAAAATCCAGATGAAAATTTATGATAGTTTTAACAATTTTTTAAGACTTGGACAATTAAGTGGCCATTAAACAACAGTTAACAGTTGTCCAGTTAACAATTAAACATTATAATTTAAAAGTGACAAATTAGAAGAGACTCACATCACGTTTTCAAAAATTTTATTGCGTGCGTTGGAAAATTCGAAAATAATTCACCTGTACTATTTTCCTAAACAAGTAAATTTAAATATTGTATTATATTCGAAGTGTGACATCGAAAATTTTGAGGTAACTATTGCAATGAAATTGAGGAAATAAGAAGCACTATATTTTATGTTGGAATTAAAAGAAACGGAACTAGAGAGGTTGCCACCATGAACGCTTCACTGCAACTCTGCACTCAATAAGCGAGGTCAAAGTTTCTGCCACAAAACACGGTCTGAAGAACCAGACTAGTGACTTTGGGGCTCCAATTTCTAGGCGACAACATTAAATGCAGGTTACATTAGAGCTCACGAAAGGTATGTTGTTTACCAGCCGCGAATGTGGCATGGTTAATTAACTCAGTTGAATATTTCCAGCTTTCCTTGGACTTGAGTGAAGAGGAGGCATGACATCTTCACGCTCGAGTGATCGCTGTAACTTCACGAAAGCTTTTCTCTGTCTTCAGTTAATTTTACGCGAGTCAAGGTTCGAGAAAAACATGAACGAGCATATTTAGTGAAGCGTGCGCGATGATATGACTATTGTGATTATGAGAATTTTGCGCATATTTGATGTATTTGTTTCTTACATTTTGTTCGTAGCATACTGTTGTGATTAGTTCTACCCTATCGTTAAAAAATATTCATTATAATGAATATAACTTCGAAAGCTTTGTTATGTATTTTTCTCAAAATGCAGAGGCTAATAACTTCGACATAGTACAGAACTATGGAGGTTGTGCTCAAGCTGAAGCTCATCCAATGCTTTATAGTTCTGAACCAATTGACGACAAGCAGTAATTTACTTAAAAATTTCGATCAAGATATAGCCAAGCGTGAGACCATAATTATTGTGACACAGATGTCAGCGTGCTTATTTAAAATATTGTAATGAGACAGTTCAATATATTAGAAAATATTATTAAAGACTTTCGAGTGATCAAATGATCAATATGCCTACGAACAGAGAAGTCCTTTCACAGCCAATCATTCGAGTTTCTAGTAATTATTTAAGTTCCCAATCATGCTCGCATCCCACTAAAGAGGTAAACATTACAAGGATTTTTTTTTCATAACAGAACATAATCGCGGCAAATCGATGCATATCAGCGATCGAAATCGTCCGCTGCCCTGACAGCTCTAGCATTTGTATTCGCCCTCGAGATCTTGAGCCATAAAAACAAGTATCTTGTTGTCAGAAAGTGGCCGTGCGATGAGTCGCTCTCAAATGATGAAGTTATTGCAACACAAGCCATGCTTTTCGTCCACCCATTTTCCTCGACTGGAAATTGAAGTAAAACCAAGAGGAGCTTCGACCTCACAACAAATCCGTCAACGCGCGCCGCACAAATGCAACACTAAAGTCTCGCTCACGGAATATCATAGAATTTCGTTCACTAGTCGAACTTGGAAAACAACGATGGGAGTTCTCTGTAGTATTTGGCTGAATAATTCAGAAGACTTCGTTCAATGGACGAAGTTCGGCGACAGGGCGCCCCTGGAACCGTTTTGGGCATAGAGGCTGCGACGCCCACCTAATAACGATGTGCACCGGAAGGAGGAGCAGACTGCGNGTGGTGGTTGTGTGGTGGTGGAGAGTGGTGAGGGAAGGGTAGTATGGGAATGAGATGAAGTGTAATGAGGGAATGAGATGGAGTGTCGTGAGGGAAGTGTCGTAAACATAACTTTAATTTCATCATAAACGAAATTTCATCAACCTTGTTCAATCGAATACCTTCAGCCCTTGACCTTAAGTTAAACTTGATGCTTTTCCCTCGAGTCGCTCAGTTCATACAATCTTTAATTCTACAATTAAAGAATATTTTTGCACAAATTTTCAATTGGCATTAAAATTAACAATCTGTTTACGGACGTCTTCAGTTACTAAGTGTTCACGTTCAATTAAACTTGACGGCTGATATTGTATTCACTAATAATGCCATTTAAATAATCGCATAATGTGTTATCGAAACCGCAATCATTTTTGAATTTGTGACCACCGGAGGGAGAGTAAACAGTTGGCGCGTACAAGAAGGGTTCGAGTTCACCGTGCAATTTTGCCGAAGTCTTCATGGGTGTTGAAGACGCGTGCGGGCTGCTGTGCTATAAAAGGGCTACGGAGAATTTGTTTTGATGGCAAGAAACGCAGGGAAGAATACGCTTGATGGTGTTTTTCGATACCTGTTCCTAAGCTAATTTTGTAGGGCAAAATAACGAACTCTGAACACGACGTGCTCGAGGGCGAGCGATTCTCTGAACGCGGAGTGCACTGTCAAATTTATGTGAAGGTTAAATGACGTTTTGTTGTTTAGACGGTGGTTTTCATAATTTAGAGACTGCGTAAATACACGAATTTGAATCTAATCTGAGCACTTGGTTATTGAAAATCATTAATTCAAATAACATTTAGCAGCATAGAGAAGGCTGAAAAAATTCAATATGCTCTGGCTGCTAAAATTCTGCAGATGCAGCTATATTATTACTGATGAAGAACTATGCCATGTGTGATAAATGTTCAATTAGATCAAATGAAGAAAATTATTTTCACAGAAATGAGACATTTTTAAAGGGCTGTTATTTTATGAAAGGAGAACTGCCTCAGTAATAACATTGCAAGAGGTTATGAGCTGGGAAATGACATCGTATTTTGTCTTTAAAATAAGTTTGAACTCAAATATTCGGTAATGAAGTACGAATGGACCCTGCCGCCCTCAAAGGATGCGTAGGTCGCTTCAGGAGCAGCACCCTTTAGCCATACAATGACTTCTGCCACGACGCTTAGCCATTTGGTATAGAACTGGCAAGATGTCATACCGTAGAACGCTGGTATATATAGAAAATTTTAGCTTCTACATCTGGTTCAGTGAACTTTAGTAATGAGACATTATAGTATATTTTTTCTCTTCGAAACCGATTTAAACTTATTTCCATGGATCTAGCCATTTCGAGCATTTAGTAGATTTTATTAACTTATTCCTCCATAATAAATCAGATCAAGCACTTATATATCATTAGGCTGCTAGAATTGCTAGTTTACCGATAATTTATAAGAAAAAAAAGGCCAAATGAATTCACTAGTTCTTTTTCGAAAACATTTTAGAGACTGATTTTTTTTAATGACAATGGAGCTGGTGACCGAACCGTTTTCCATGAAAATATGGTCAATTTATTTGGCGTTTTCATATGTTTTTAAATTTTCAATAAATCAGTTCATTATCACACCGCCATTTCTTACGTTGTGATGTTACTTGTCGAGGTTTGTTCCAGTTTGTTATGTATATTCATTTAGTTTCATGTTCAATTTCAAATTTCATGTTCTATTCATTTCAAATCAAATCAGAATGTAGAAAATCTCACTTCAATTTACTTTTTGTTCCAGCAGCAGTGGATGGAGACCATGCGGTCCCAGCCTTCACCGGTGGTGGAATCCACCTTCGAGGCACCATGGGATCCACCGGCATCACATTTGGTCTCCCAATCCACCAACCTTGCATCGGAAGTTCCTCATACCCAGACCCCGTTCACCAGCGCCATTTCCGATGCCTTGACATCAACCTGCTCTCCCGGACCTCCGTTTTGTCCCAGTCTGTACACTTCCCAGTATAATTTTAACAGTCCTCACTTCCAGCACTTTCAACAGACCGTTACCCATACGGATGATAAATCCAACCCATCAAATTTCCCTGAGCCACCACCTTACAATCCGGATTTAATCACTCCTCATCCTCCGAGTCAAACTCATTTGTCCGGCGGATATTACGCCGTACCAACGACTGTGACAACAACTGAAAATTTTTCGAGATCGGCTCTTCCATCTGAAGATCCGAAAGTTTTACGTATGGTAGAGAAGCCCCAAAACCCACTGTTTTCCCACAGTTCGCACGAGAAAGGTGCTGGAGCAAACCTTAGAAGCAATTACTACTATGATCAAATGGTACTTTCAATTCACAAACGAACTAATATTGAAGGATACAACACGGATGTCAACAAACCCTGGAACTACGAGACATCAAAACCATCAAAAACAATAGATCAAAACTGGCTTTCAGGGGCTCCAACCGAAAGCTCTACGACATCACCAGAATTTCGTTGTGACAAGATTCAACAAGAGACTTCTCGTGGAGCGAAAGGTGAGGGCTTCCAGAGCCAAGCACCTTTCCTTGAGTGCAAATCCGAAAGAAATGACGTAGCCCACTCATACAGCAATGTTAGAGAAACAAGCACCAACTACAATCAGTTTCACGAGTATACCAGAAGCGCGGTGTCCAGTAACATCGTCGCAAATATGGGGACAAACATGCAGGTTGGGATCGAAGTTAGTCAGCACGTGGAAGAGATTCACTGTCAGCAAGTAAAGATTAAGGAAGAAATTGGGGTTACACCACCAACATATCCATTAGTAACACCTCCACCTCCTCTTTATCCCCACCATAATGTTCCAAATTCACAGCATCATCAACAAGTTCTACCGGATTCATATGACTTTCACAATCAATCTCAACCGTATCAGACACTACAGTACCATTCGTACAATCCACATCCAGTTGCTCACCATCCTCAATCTTCTCCAGGACTGTCAACTCCTCCGGTAGGTTCTCCCTTCCCTGGAGTCCCATATCCTTCCTCTTCTTCCAGTAATTCAGATTCTTGTGGTTGGGGGATTCCGAACAACTCTTTTGGTCCAGCATACGAGCCCGGTTCTTCAGCTTCGACACAGATTAACTATCAAGGTGACCAACACTACAACATTTATGCTCGTTCGGTTTATATACAAAATGGTGGTCATTTTTCTCCTATTCCACCTCCATATCCAACTCCTCCAATGCTGCATTCACGCACTGGTGTTCCTAATCCGAATTCTGGAAGCAACCTGACTACCCCCCTGAAAGCTCGAAGACGGCGAAGATGGACCCGGCGTCGCAGCGTGGTGCACACTTGCTCTCACTCGGGTTGTGCCAAGACCTACGCCAAGTCATCGCACCTCAAGGCCCACATGAGGACCCATACCGGGGAAAAGCCCTACCAATGCGACTGGAAAGGCTGCGGGTGGAAATTCGCGCGTTCTGACGAACTGACTCATGAGGACCCACACCGGGGAAAAGCCCTACCAATGCGACTGGAAAGGCTGCGGGTGGAAATTCGCGCGTTCTGACGAACTGACGAGGCATTACCGCAAGCACACCGGCGACCGCCCCTTCCAGTGCAGACTTTGCGAGCGAGCCTTCAGCCGCTCCGACCACCTCAGCCTGCACATGAAGAGGCATATGGCGCTATGATGCTAATATATGATAGATTTATTCAATTAACCCTACAGGATTATTCTGTTTGTACGAAATGGATGTAATCTTATCTGCTCGAACATTATGCGTGAATAATAGAGCTCCATTATTTCATCTGATGTATTTTAAATATAAATATTAAATCATGTAACACTGACTCGACATTAAATATAAATTTCATAACGCATAGTATCATGGATGTTGACTGTCACCACTCCGCTGTGCGCAGAGTCTACGGGAAATATTTTACTCTTTCATTCAGCGTCATTGCTGTGGCGCTAGGAAAATGTAAAATATTCTCATTTTCTTGAGAATAAATCTCTAAGTTTGGATGATATTTGTTTCTGAAACAAATGACATGCAATGCTTTTGAAATTCAAGCGTCCTAAAAAATAAAATAATTCTTCATTTTAGTACGAATGAGTCTGAATGAACATGTATAATGAGTTTATGAGTTCAAGCATATGAACTACTAATATTTCTCGCTTTTAACCCACTAATAAACATTGCGGGCTTCGCACAATGTTTGTACAGAGTTATCTATACTTCAAAACAATTCCCACGCGTATTTTTCAAAATAAATCCCACATTTATTATTTCAAAACAGTTCCCACACATATTGTTTCAAAACAGTTCACACATATATTACTTGAAATATTATGAGCAACTGTTCTGAATGTAATTATCGAACAAACAATGATTTTTTTCATAGTTACATACTTATGCAAGCTGAAATTTTTATATCCACAATGTGTTGATATAGGCTATACGATGTTCTTGAAAAATATGAAATTGTATGTTTTGTTTTAAAAATTCTAACATAATGTTCATACAAGCCTTCTTTAATATTCGAATAATTTGTTTGCAGAAAATCTTATGCATCGTTTGCTTTTTATAAATATTGTACATTTATCTTCCTTCCTTGTACTGTCTCTTGTACTCTAGAGAGAACCTAACAATGTTCTTAATTTCGCTTGTTGAAACCTGTATTTTTTTGTACTTTTTTACCTTCAATATACAATACAATATTTATTCCACAGAATACTAATTACTATTCCTTTTGAGCGAAAATGTTTAAAAAATATGTCTATTTACTTTCACTGAAGTTTCAAAGCGAAAATACGGCCGTATAAGAATTAATTACACAATTCATACTCTCATAAGAAGGTATGATCCTTCGAAGTGAACTATTTAGGCTGTTGAGAACTATTTGAAATTTGGCAGAGAACGGTTCTTAGAAAGCAAATCCAAGCGAATATTGTGTCAATATGTTATCCCAGCTTCAGTCGTAACGGTATTTTAGGGTGAAATTTTAATATAATGTAATATATTAGAACAAAATCACATAGAAAACGTGGTAATCAGAAGTTCACATTTAATAAGACTGCTATATTCATTCTGTATTGTTAGAGGAGAATCTTTCCCCTCCAGTGTAATCATGTAGAGGATAACTGAAGAGACGAAACTGTTACGTTTATTTTAAAGAATCAACAGGAAAACAGGAATGCAAACGAAAATTAACAATAAATAGAAACATCGTTGTAACAGCCATTTGCATCAGATATTGAATAAATATTAATGAAAAATTATCTAAATTAAATTAATTAAATTACTTAATACACAAATACTAAAAAAACGCTCTCATGGAAGCCCTCTTACAGAATAGCATTCGTTACATATTATGGATGGTGTGAAAATGTACGAAATTGTAGGTTTTTAACGGACAGCTTAAGCACGCATGCACACTGTGAAGGGATCGTAACGAAGCGAGACCTATAATGTACGTCGTACACGGTAGTAGTGTTGTTCTGAATTATGCAGAAAATGCTTGCTGTAAAAGTTAAAAATATCAACAGCTTATTTCATTTCAAAATTATATTAGTGATCTGAATAATTTTAATTTATTCGTTAAATTCTGACCAGAAAAGGATTATCGTTCGTAAACATTTTAAAATATTTTTTTGCAAAAAAGATAGCTTGATGGAGGTCTACAAAGTGCTTGTGGCTAGCTAGATATGATTCGGCTTAATATTTATTTCCAAAATTATCGAGTGTTAGCTCATAATAAAATAATTATTATATAATATAATTTACAAATTATAATCAATTAATAAGAAGGCTGATTCTGCTACCAATTAGTCTATTGAGTTGTATGTGATCGCACAACGTCTGTCTTTAGCGTGAATATTGACCGGGAATAAACTATACCTGAATGGTATCTCGGCATTTAAAAAAAAATTAAATCTATATGATATTGAACAAACCACAATAGTGAAATGCTATGGATATAAAATCTATAGAAATTAACGCGTCTGTTCCTTAACGTAAGATTTGAAAATAGATATTCATTTTAGCTAAATTAAATACTAAAATTGATAAACCACACATATTTTAATGGATTTCCAATTATAAAAAGCGTATATTCAATGCAATTATTTCAAGTGCATAGATTTTGAATTAGGTTTCTTATTTAGGATCGAATTTCCAATTTCAATGCAATAATATTTTCATAATATCACTTCAAATCATCATTTCAATGAACCATTATAAACAATTTACAAATAAAATTAGAAAATCGTGCCTGTCACACCTAAATAAAATTCACACTTCATCGAACTCTCACATTTACTTTACTAAAACTTGAATGTTTTATCGTACCGGAATAACATTAGGGTATTATTTTTATTTATTACATATCATAAAACATAATATGTATCTCCACATTTAAATGGTAGGATTGAGAACGTCGGCGTACTGCTTGTAGTTCTGCTCCAAGGCATTAGCGACATCAAACACTCGCTTATACGACCTGCAAAATAAAAGTCCATAAAATTAATTGTCATTATATATATCAATTTAAATAAAAAATAAAGAAACCAACAGAAAGCTTGTTTTTAAGTTAATTTACTAAAGGAAATAATCTACAAGCACAAGCCCGACAAAAAAAAATAATTAACAACCATGAATCGCTAGAGTGAGAAAAGGACAAATGCTACACAAATTATGTCACGTGTGACAGCGGCTACTGATCGACTTGTTACTCTGATCGACTTGTTACTCTCTGAAGATAATAGAGCATCACAATAGCTTCATAAGTAGCAACCAATTTGTTTTGGAGGAAAGCAAAGTTTGCATAAAAAATTGCTAAATATCTGCACAAAATAATTTAATTAGTAATTCAATATATGTGAAAGTACGCACTCAAATGAAGTAGGTTTCTCACTGTATTATCAGTTGTGATATTAAGCGAGATTTCGAAGCCTGCAGCCATGCATAAAAGTTTACGATAGCGCAACATTTTAGCTTGCTTCTTTCACCCCATTCTATCTGAACATTAGCCAGTCGCAAAAAATCAAGACTTATTTTAGTTTGTTTTTCAGGGGAAATTCAGTTAAACAGGGGGAAATTAGACACGAGTTACGTGGTCGTTCAGGGGAAGTGCAGGTTGTTGCAAAGCCTGCCCGAGAAACAACGTATATGAACATGGCATTGGAACAGCACTCGGCAATTAGATGCAGGCGTTGCGGGATCAGCCTCCCTATAAAGTGCTTTCTAGCGATGCTCCTCTCAGACAGATCTGGGGCGGAGACTTTCACGCACGACGTCTTCTTTGACAACAACTTACGTTATTAAATCTCTTCCTGAAAACATGTCACTCGATGATGCTCTTGAAATAATATGGTCAAAGAGTTATTCGATTTTTAAGCTACATTTCACGGTTTGATGGACAATTAATGTTTGTGAAGTATGAGATGGAAGATAATTACAGTTGTGAGATGGAAGTATGTTTACATACCAGTCAAGAAAAACTAAGTCTTCTTCAAAACACTACAGAGACTTTTAAATACCACGCATTTTTATGAGCTTAATTAGCAGTGACTACGAAAAAAGAAATTACATTGAATCTCTACTAAAATTGAATTATGACATAAAAAAATCAAACATGTCTCGTTTTCAGTCCATCGAAGACAATTAATAAGTAACAATGTTCTCGAAAAAAATAATAAAATTTTTTGTTATTTTCCTTTTTACGCGAAATAAAAATTCGTTGTGACAAATGACTTTTGGTCTACTTGGTTAATATTACCGAAATGGTAAAATTCTAATGATATTAGAACTTATAATTTAATAAATTTAATATCCAAAGATAATCATTAGGTATTTATATTTTATATATTTTATGTAAGAGAAAAGTATTCAATTCAAGAGGCTAGGTTAAAGTTGGTGCGATACATTCATACTGAATTTCTATTTGGAAATTAATTCACCTCGCTTGAAAAAAATTCATTTATTCAGTTAAATATTTTCCTGAAGGAAAAAATGTTTTGAATAATTTGGGTGTAATTGTCTACTCTAGAAGGATTTAATAATTTAACATTTGAAAATTTATCTTGCTGTTATCATGCCATTAGTGTCACCTAAGAGTTGACTGAACTAACCCACTGACTGGACGACTGCAAAGAAATCAATTGAAAGATTTTCCACCACGATTTCTTGTGCAATATCATCAACGTCTTGTATGCTATTTGTCATGAACGATAAAGTTTATAAATTTGCCACGAAAAATGATCAAGTTTGTAGATTTTATCACTGCCTTGTCTGAAGAAGCTTGTCTGAGTGGACCTTCACTTTTTTCAAGTCCAGAAAGTCGTTGTTTTCCGCATACTAATCTACGCGTGCATTTTGTAACAATTAATTATGACATTATCATCTCAGTCTTGTAAACAATTTGTTCCAAAAGATATCGATGTTGAATCATAAGTTAGTTGCCGCTTTCACCCATACGAACAGTTTGCTAAGATAATCGACTGTGTCGCGTGTCGCAGCTATCGTAGCAGCAGACACGAGGTCGCTTGTTTGATAACATTCGTCATTCAACTGAAATGTTCCTTAACTTATATTCTTTGATAGGATGCTAATTCTTGTCTTCTGCAGGTATCAGCATCGCCAATAAAACAGGATAAATTCTTGCGGCTTTTTCAGTTCAATTGATGAGGGACTTCTAGGCTGAGACTTGCAATGTCACACCAGTAGCATCATTCATTCATATAACTACGTCGATGACACGCTTGAAGTAGTGGAATAAATGTAGCTCTTATTATTATTACAATTATTATTATTATTATTACAATTATTTATGCTGACCTTATATTATGACATAGGCCTCATATAAAAAAATTATTAGTCAAGTTGACGTTACTGAACTAGTTTCTTTTAGTGTTGATATAGTTACACTGCATTAATTTCCTTGCAATGCATGCTGTAAACTTTGTACATAGTTAATTAATTACTATTACTAGAAATGAATAATCCCACAATTTTCTTTTTATGCATGATATTTAATGATCGTTTATTATTTACATAAAAAACATTGTGGTATGCAATTATAGAAATTAGTTTTCTAATTAGTTAATTTCTTTATATTAGAATTTAAATAACTATTGAAATTTAAATAACTATAAGTATTTGAATAACTTGACTTACGAGTAAGTGTCCTGCACCGTAGGAGTGCCGCCGTAGCCGTAGGTGGTTGCGCCACCCGCAGGATTGGCACTGATGCCATCCAGAACTGCCAAGAGGATGCCCAGGAGTGCCAAAGCGCATACGATGGCGAGCGCAACAGCGCCAAAGTAAATAAAGAACTCGGTGATGCCGATGGTGTCGGTGTTGCCGCCATCGATGATGATGTAGCGACCGTCATCTTCATCGCTTTCTTTCACAGTCAGCGATTCGGTAGAACCATCGGCAGCATTACGTACAAGTTTCCATGTCTTTATGCTTGTTTGGGGTGAGGTTGGGTCACTTTTGCTGCTTTTGTCGCGCAAAGAGGCTTTAGAGGCGGAGAGTTTGGTGTCGGCGACGGCTGAAAATATTAGGCTGCTAGTGAAGAGTAGCAGGAGTGCCCACGCAGAAATCCGTTTATCTGATCAGAAATAATTATATTAGGAACTATATTTATGTTAATTACATTTACAAACGATAATATTATTTTAATTTATCGGTTGTAAACACTAGAAGCTTAATTTAGCCGGGAAGAATGTACAGTAAATAAACGATTATGGAGTGTGTTCGATTTAGTACATCTCCGCGCAATACTGTTCGAACTTCATTGCGACACCTGCCACGTATAAAAGCCGAGACTCTAAGCAAGAGAACATGACAACCAAGCTCACTCCCAAATACCTCATAACCTAGAAATAGGGATAACTGTTTGAGGATATCGCCACCCGAGGAGAGTTTTGAAACCGAGACTATCGTGTGTCATCGCACTTTCTTGCCGCGCTCTCCCTGACTAGCCGCGCTCGGCCTCAAATGATCTGCTTTCACTGCGCCGGCGCTGCGTCACGCGGCGGTATAAGAGCGTAACGCTGTGTCACGCAACACCGCCCTGGGGCCGGACTATCAAAATTAATTCCATCAGCTAATCACTGTCTGCCTTTAAAACTAAACTCATCAATCACAGACAAGAAATCAACAGCTACGTGTACTTTGGCCGCTACGTGTATTTGAATCGCTACGGGTGCTTGAGTCGCCACGTATACTTACTCAATAACATGTACTTATCAAGCTAATAAAACAAATTCTCTGGCCTTTAATTAAACCTGCCTAAAGGAAGAAATCCCGCCAACCTATACTAATTTATCAAGCTATGTATAAATTGGCCACTTTGTGTACTTCGGCCGTTACGTGTCCTTAGGTCGCTACGGGTACCTACGCTAATAAAATTACCTACGTCGATAAAATTTTCTTATGCTACGTAAAAGAAAATTGTCAATAAGAAATACTCTCTGGCCTTCAATGAAACCTGCATTAAAGAACAACGTCGCCCAAACTACAGCAATGTTACTTAGCTACATGTAATTATCCCTCTAAGTATACATAGGCTGCTACTTGCACTTAGACCACTATGGGCTCTTAGGCCGCTACGTGTACATGGGCTGTTGTGTGTACTTGAGGAGTTTAAATAGCGCTGCCTCCGGCCAATGAGTGAGCGTCCACAACCGCAAAGTATATTTGAACTTCATTAATAATTCAGGCACGCGCCTCAAGCAGATGAAGATCCCCCTTCTCTCACAACTAGAGAAGGGGGAGACTGTGCTAGATCCCCCCCCCCACTACGTAACAGATCCGCAGTCAGATTTCAATCCCTGCTGGAAGGATCACTTTCCGTGGCACGGCCAAGGCTGTTTAAAGGATCTAAGAGAGAGGAAGTTCACCCTGGAGACCTTCAAGAGACAACTAGACGTGTTCCTGAGCACAATCCCAGATCGACCTCCCCTGCAACACTACCAGCGGCGAGAAGCAAGCAACAGCATCGTGCATCAGGTGGCCCAAATGAGGGCGGATGAACGATAATCAGAGGCGGCGATCCATCGTGGCCTGGGACTGCTACGTCCCAAACAAGCACCAAGATTACCAAGATTACCAAGATGTATTTTAGCATTTTTCATGAAGAAAGTTTTGTGATAGAGAATTGTGCTCTGATATTAAATGTATCCGCATTAACGGCAGAAATGTGACTACCACATAAAAAGTAATTTAAATTAAATATTTCTATCGATAAATTAGAATTTTTTTCTCTGATGGTATCACCGCTTTAAACACTCCACTCTTATTCGTATGGTAGTACTTGACCCGAATTTTTAAACTGAACAGTGACATACAGTAAAAGAAATGCATCACACATACAGAAAAATGAATGGGACATAATGTCCGAATAGTGACACACTTTATGCATGTACACTGATACATACTCTTGCCGGGCAAGAATGAGTCATGATCTCCCACACACTGGCAAGAAGTGCATCGTAAGTTGGACAAAGACCCTTAATTTATCTGAGAGTACCATACATCGCGGCTGAACTCAATGAAGACCGCCGAGGCTGGCTTTGGTCACGCCACGAAACCAATGAAATAGAATTATACTAATAATAATCAGTGTAATTGCAATTTTTTCCATCTCAATAACGATTGAGAATTACATAGATTTTGTTAAAAAAAATTCACCCACATAAATGGACGAATTTTGCTTCCACGCATCATTGATCGGAAATCTTATTATAAATGAGATCTTTTAAATTCGAAAAACTTATCTACAGTAGGTCTTTACAGAAACTGCGTAACAGTTTAACAGTATAACTCACCGTTAAATTTCTTCATGTTGTTTTCTGTGCACCATTCCAAAAATTTCTTCAGCGCAAATTTTGCTCTGATTCTTGTCGGAATGAATAAGATTATCTGAGATTGCTACCTCCACATGCTTGAGGATCACTTGAGCTCAATCCACTGTTGAAAATAATTCAATCTTGCTTTAAAAAATTATCCTGCACCTATAAAAAACCTAAAGTATACAATCCTGTATCTAAAAATATATTTTCATTTAAAATTTGATTATTTATTTTCATAGTTGAAAAAAAGCAACGTCATGTGCAAGAAGTACGAATTGGTTTATCTATCTCAAAATTGAAATGTTTAGCAAAAAAATGTTTGTTTTAAGTGCACAATATGCTTAATTCACGGGACGTCGTTTAGAAAAAAACTAATCTCATTCACTTAATTTTATTATAACACAGCGAACACATTTTAATCCATGAATAACTGAAGTAAGAGACGTGTGATCAGTAACACGTTGACGGGACAAGTCGCTGCGTGTCACGCATGTCCCAGGTTATATACGCCACTCTCGAGCGCGGGACAGTCAACCGCAGCGTCTCGACACGCAAGACACGGGCCGGCTAGGCCGGATCCGGGAGACGATGTTCAGGAGGCTTTCCCTGAGGGTAGGGTTAGAGGGTAGTGTGAGGGGATGTGTGGTGTATGGGGTATTTTAGGGGCTTTCCCTGAGCGCAGTGTTAGAGGGTAGTGTGAGGGGGATGTTTGGTGTAGGATGGGGTATTTGGGGGGCTTTCCCTGAGGGCAGTGTTAGAGGGTAGTGTGAGGGGGATGTGTGGTGTATGGGGTATTTTAGGGGCTTTCCCTGAGGGAAGTGTAAGAGGGTAGTGAGAGGGGATGTGAGGTGTAGTGTAGGGTATTTCTGGAGGGCTTTTCATGAGGGAAAGGGTACTGTTAGAGGGTAGTGTGGGGGATGTGTGGTGTAGTATAGGGTATTTCTGGAGGGCTTTTCATGAGGGAAAGGGTACTGTTAGGGAGTAATGTGAGGGGACGTGAGGTGTAGTATAGGGTATTTATGGAGGGCTTTTCATGAGGGGAAAGAGTACTGTTAGAGGGTAGTGTGGGGGATGTGAGGTGTAGTATAGGGTATTTCTGCAGGGCTTTTCATGAGGGAAAGAGAGCACTGTTAGAGGGTAGTGTGGGGGATGTGAAGTGTGGTATAGCCTGTATAGGGTATTTCTGCAGGGCTTTTCATGAGGGAAAGAGAGCACTGTTAGAGGTTAATGTGAGGTGATGTGAGGTGTCGTATAGGGTATGTATGGAGGGATTACTATAAGGGAGAAGGCGTTGTAAGAAAGGGCAGTGTGTTTGTGCGTAATATGCAGAATGCGCGGTATGGGAAACGGTATTTTTAGTAGTTTTTATGAGAGAGAGTGCGTTATGACAGAAGGTACTAATTTTGGCAATATGAGGGATTGTGCTTGCAAGAGGGAGTATTTTTAAATGAAATATTAAGAGGGGAGGGTTACAGGCTGAGGATGTTAACAGCAGTAGGATATCTGTCACATAAGTTAAAGTATGCGTAAAGAGAGCATCACGCAAAGAGTAATGCACATGTGAGAGTGATTGGTGTAAAAGGGTAGTGTTTAACAAGAATATAATGGGTGTGCTTTTCTGTATAATGCTTTTTTGAACGTAGATAACATAAAAGATTGCGCGGAGAAACAGGGTATTAATATAGAGCAATAAAAGTAGGGAAAATCTTTTCTAAATATGGTATATCGGAGGGAAGTGCGAAATTGAAATGAGTTTTGAAACACGTGCTTCGAGAGGAATATATGAGAGAGCTGTGTTATATCGAGGGACGGCGTTGTTAGCTGAGAGTGTGAGTGTTGAGAGAAGGCTATGAGGGAAAGCAATATGAGGTAAGTGGGTTGAGAGAGTTGGTGCTGATAAAGAGCATAGGGATATACCATGAATGTGCTATACACGATTTACACACTATGAATGCACTAAGTAATGTATGTTTATACTATGTAAAGTGAATGTCTGATGCCATTGAGGGGGTTAATTTGAGTTAGTTAAAGTAACCTAGTAAAAAAGTGTTTAATTGAAGTGAAAAATTTATAATTACGATAACAAGGCTTATTATTAATGTGCAGTATGTAAAAATTTAGTCAATATAAAACTAAGGATTGCAGAACTAAACTGTGCTGACAGGTTCAACGTGTAAAATAAACTACCAGGCGATGCAGAGTTTGATGTACTGTAACGCAGCAGAGCAGGTGAGACGTCACGCGTACGTTATCGCGCGACGTCGGGCATCTGAGAAGACGGTAAACGAGAGACGACGTACAGTATGCTGCGCGCATTCCTGTATCATGTGAAGCTCAAGTACAGAAAAATGTTGAAAGAACGTTGATTACGAATTGGTTTCGTTGAAACAATGTTATTTCAACGTGAAATGCCTGGTGGGACATAAGGGAGAAATGAACGATTAGCCATCATGAGGTTGTTGAATGAACAACGAAGACTTCACAAATGCTTTACTGAATCTTCACACTAAAGAAGAGCGAAAAAAATATTTTTAGAAGATTCCAAGGATTTGAGTTTTATGCGATTTAAGACATATAAAAAATGCATATAAAAATAGATGTGTTTCTGAATTTCCTTAGCAAAGAAACCATTGCATTATAAAGATATGTTCGTTAATGTCTGAGATGCATTCAATCAAGAATTTAAATAACAGCTTCATTTAAATTAAAATACTGTGATCTAGTGCCATATATTCACCAACAGTAGTAAGGTAGCTGCACGTTCAAAATTTACAGTTTATTAAAGTTATTCGCCAGAACCGAATTGTTGATATTGGCCGGGGCTACGATCAGAAGTATCTTAAATACCTCTGACATGCCCAAATCAAGACGTCAGAGCTGAGAAGAAACATTTTCTGTATACAAGATACCGCAGCGATCTTCAATATCATGTCTGTTGGTTGTTCACCGCGTAAACTCTTCATCACGTTCTCGTGACTGCGATTAACCGCGAAAAAATTACTTAATCTCATCTTCATCAGATCGTCTTGTTGTCTGAAGTACAGCCGCGGTATACTGACGAGATAATGGCTCACTGCTGCGGAAATGCAAGAGTTAGACTGCACAACTGTCCGCAAAAACGTAGGGCTGGAAACTACTGCTGTAATGCGAATTAAAATTAGGAATTTATTCGTCCAAACAATGGTGCTTTTTCCTAAAATTTGCAATAGCCCGGGAATGCCGTTTACCACTACTGCGCCGGTCCATGCCTGCAAGGAGCCTTACAAGCGAAGAAAGAAAACATCGTTAATGAAGATTACACATCGGGACGCAAATCTGGTGAACTGAGGGACCTCGAAGAAGAGAACGTGAGACTGTAGAGGAAACTGAAAGAGATGTAGAAAGAAATGGATTCGCTGAACGAACATTGGAAAGATGAAATTGATTCGCTTAGGAAAAAGAAAGATCGAGAAATAGATGCAAAATCGTGTATTATTTATGAGCTAGAGCGCGAGCGGGATTGTCTACAGATGGACTTGGTTGAGCTGAGTATCAAGTTGCAAGAGAGCGAGCGCATCAGGCACAGAATGTGTGCTTATGTCAACACTCAAGCCAAGATGCTTGATCCGTGCTTCTAGTGAAGAGAATCAACGTATCTTTGATCTTCATCGTCAACTCGACCCTTTGTCCCGTTTTGGATATCAATCAACGCAATAATTTTTCATTCGTTGTCGTCAAACCGACATTTTAATATATGAAGATGGAATTCCTAATGGACGTGCACTAAGGATTGATGCCGCATCGTACATATCGTGGCAGAAATAATAGGACATTTTTTTCCGGATCCCAATGCAGGATTCACTATTAATTTCATCGAAGTTGATTGAAATTTAATTAAACTACGTCATTCTCATTCCATCACTATTTTCCTGAAGCAAATAAAAAACTGATCCAGAAACGAAGAAAAAGTCAGTGAAACTTAATATCAATTAGAAAATATTTAATGGAAACTTCTGAAAATAAGAGAACAATATAAGGAAAAATGAAATCGAAGACGGTGCACGTTGAAGTCATGCGATAAAGCGATAAAGTTGCGGCAATTTGAAACGTGTTCATAAAAGACGGGTCGTGGAGGGACGAAAAGTGAATTGAAACTCAAGTTAAAATGAAAGTAGTAAAATTCTAGACGATGTTTTATTTTTTGTTTATATTGGGTGATGGAAGCCGTCTCTTCAAACGACTCTATACAGTATCACGGAAAAATCTTCATGCATTTTAAGTAATCCTTATGGCTTAACGAAAAGTGTTTTTTTTTTCTTGTCGATCTTGATGCAGTGTAAAAATATATAAAATATAAACGAAGAAAAAATAAAAAGGGCTAAAAACGCATTGATAAATATGATAGTTTCCGCGGATGGATGTTATTGTTCGGCTTGCTTGGTAAAATTCAAATCGGAGCATCAAGGCGAGGGTTTCAGGAAAGAGGATAAATCAAGATAAATGTTTCAAGACCAAGGCATCAGACGAGGGCATGAAAATGAGTGTGTTTCAAGAAGAGGGCATCAAACGAGGGTATCAAGATGAGTGTTCTGTAACCAGGGTATCAAAACGGTGGCATCAAAATGAGGGCACAAGAAGGAAAGCGCAATAACAAGGGCATCAAGACGAGTTCACCAGGACGACCTCGTGACGAATTTTTGGCAGGATAAACAAGGCAATGCATTGAAGAAATGTTCCCAGGATAACGCCGAGATTAACTTGTACAGTGTATTCAAGAGCTGCTATTCTAACTACCGTCGTTGAATTTAGGGGGAAGTGCACTTCCCCCTAAATTGATATTCCCCCTAAGTCGTTGATATAAGTTCCAACCGCTCATAAAAAAAATTTAAAGGTATTATGTTGTACAATATTTTTGGTTACATGAAGCAAAGACCGGGTTCTGTCATTATTTTAATAAAAAGAATATTAAGAAAAGGTAAACTCCTTCATCCTTCGTGGTCAAGAGGTTCAATAATTAAATATTCGCGGGTGCAACCACTTTTGACAGTCATCAATAAAAATTAACTTAAAATTTTGCGCCATTTTGAACTACAACGAAATTAAATTGAGATTTATGTTATATTTCGACGATAAAGAATCGGGATGAATTCTCAAATTGTGATTTGTGATTTAGGCTAAAAGTAAACCAT